CACCACATACACATCTGGCACCCACAGAAGCTAGAGAAGAAGCCAGATGCCTTTGAAATGGAGATCCAGAGAGTTGGTACCAGCTGTGTGCATGCTGAAAACCAAACCTAGGTCCTCAGGAAGAGCAGTCAGTGCTCCTAACTGCTGAGCCACCTCTCTAGTCTCTAAACTTTTACACATAATAAAGAAGTGGAGGTGGGACTGGGGAGGATGTCAGGACTTCATATAACTTCCAGGTAATAGATGCTTTAGGCATACACTGAGAAGACCAGCCAGGGATTGCATGAAAAAGATTTTCATTCTCACAGTAGACGGAACAAGCAAGTATAGACAATTTCATTTACTCATGCAATTCTGAAATCCTTCAGCAAATCATTATGGAACATCTATTGTTTATCAGTCAACAAAGACTATAGACAGAAATGACTAAACAATATCAACGAGCATATCTCAGTGTGAATTCAAGTGCTATTAACATGCCTCCAAAAATGGGTTTTGTATTTGGAAATTATACATACTGAATTCCTTAATGTGAAGCATATCACATTATTAATATTTCTAAAAAATGGTTTTCTGATATAATTGAATGCTTAAAATGAATATTAAATAGCAGCATCAGTGCATGTTTCTAGCTATCTTCACACTAATTTCATGCTGAAAAACCACACGAACGCTGACAATTTTGTATTTGATAAATGCCTAATAAACGAGGAGAGGTTAACGTTCTGAAACTAATGTTTTCTGAGAAAAACCAGAAACAAACATTAAACTTCTAAGCTTTTCTAAGAAGAATAAACCCTAACTATGTTCGCAAGAGATCTTCACTTATAGTCTAAATTGAGCATTTGAATTAAAATTTTATATGAGTTGATTAAAACTAATTTCTTTACATACATATTGCTGAAAACAATCTGTTTCCCAGAGATTTTCCGTTGGAGAAGAAAGCAAACATAGACGTTGTGTGAAGGGACTAAACAGAGTCTTCCCAGTCTGTGCTGGAGAATTAATTTACTGCTGGGAGATGAGGAAGGGATTAGAATTGAAAAAATGGCTTCAACACGTCATAGAATAGTTCTGAGGAGAAAAGATGGCACCGACACTACTCCAAAAACTGCCTCATAAACTAAACACAACACAAAAGCAGTGGCCACAGAGACCAACATCTTTCTATTATAAATACATAATATGGGTAATAGTTGCCCTGCAGTCATCAGACTAAGATTCTTAATGTATCAAATAAACATCATCTAATTAAAGTTTAACAATATATTACGATAGACATGATTTTCCTATTCCACAGTTGTCAAACCCAAGACTGAAACTATGGATAATCAGACAAGAAGCCAGGGTAGGCCGGGCGGTGGTGGCGCACGCCTTTAATCCCAGCACTTGGGAGGCAGAGGCAGGCGGATCTCTGGGAGTTTAAGGCCAGCCTGGTCTACAAGAGCTAGTTCCAGGACAGGAACCAAAAAGCTACAGAGAAACCCTGTCTCAAAAAAAAAAAAAAAAAAAAAAAAAAGAAGCCAGGGTAGAATTCAAAGCCAGGTCCTTAGACTCTCGTGTTCAGGTTCGAAGGCAGATGTTGCCTATTGGGAAGCATGGTTGAGTCTCTTTCTATAGATTCAAGAGAGGAATGTTTGCACTTTATCTTCCCAGAGTAAGTCTTGTGTGGTACAGAATAGTTTCATACAGCAAAAATAAAACAAAAGTAACCCTTTCCATGAAAACTTGAGAGTTCTACCTCTTAACAAAACATAACTTAAATTAGAGAAAAATCCTCAGTTGAATACCAGCAGGCAGCAAGTACATTTTGCCTTTGTTCTTTCCCCTTTTCTACTTCTTCCTTCCTTCCTTCCTCTCTCCCTCCCTCCCTCCTTTCCTCCCTCCCTCCCTCTCTTCCTCCGTGCCTCCTTCCCTTCCATTTTTGGCCCTACACTATTTTCTTTAAATTGAGATTTTTGTATCCAGACACAAGAAGACCCATAACAAAAATGACAGTACGAATTCACACCAGGCAGCTGCTTTGAAAAACACCAGTGTAATTTACTCTGAAAAATACCCAGCTAAAGCTGTTTTTGTGGAATAAGATGAACAGCTCCTATTAATGCTAATTGAAATCCTCATATCCACACATACCATGCATAAAATTTACTTCTACAGTTATTTTTTCCACCTCTAAATTGCAGTAGGTCCAATGACAGAGTACTACCTTTTTAATTTGAGCATCCATGCATGCAAATTGATACTTTTTTTGGTGATTATGTTGACAAATTCAATACAGGTGAAATTCCACTGTTTGTAAAGTGGACAAAGTTTTAAGTGTGAACAATCAAATACAATGAAAACCAAATCTCTTTTCTTAAAAGAGTCCAATTAAAATGAAATTTATAATTTCTTAATATTTTTCTCTTCAAAAACAGCATCTGAATGAATGTGGCACTAATATATGCCATCAAGATGTCCTACATTTTAACTCCCATAAGCAGAGAAATAATTTTAAATGAGAAGTACATTTTTCCTTATATAAACAATTAATGCAATTCTTATCTATATATAAATATATGTATATTTCTGTTTCTATATGTGGAGAGATTATATACAAACATGTATAAAGTTTTTGGGTGCATACCAGACCTATTTTGGGCAAGTGTCTAAATACGTTGAAATGAAGGTACAGTATTCTTCGAGGTTAATTTATAAAGTCTGGATGAAGAATTGTGTTAACTGGGTGGTGGTGGCACATGCCGTTAATACCAGCACTTGGGAGGCAGATCTCAGTGAGTTTGAGGCCAGTCTACAAAGCAAGTTCCCCAGAACTGAGTCTCAGAGAAATCCTCCTCTAAGAACAAAACCAAAAGTAAATAAATAAATTAATATAAATGTGTTTATTAATACTTTGAATTACTATGAATACTAGTAAATTTTAGAATGTTATTCAGATAAAAATAGGACAAAATCTATTAGTTCAATGAAACTTGAGATGTTATTGCCCCTTTATTCTTGCACTGCAAACCAAGAATAAAATGTTTCCACTAGGAATTACTTCATGCCACAGTGGAGTAAAGCAAAAAGATTACATATTATTCATAAACAGTATGATCACAGAAAAATACAAATTTTCATTTAAAATGGTCAGATCGGTGAGATACAGACTTCATACAATTCTCCAATTTATCGATTGTGTCTGTGTTCTCAGCTGAGAAGGGCTGAGTCTAAGAGTCTTACCAGCATGTCGTACAGCTGGGAATGTCGTTTCGGAGAGTTATCATTTATCTTTTGCAAGAGATGCTAGAACTTGTTACTAGAGATGCTGCAGCCAGAGACTTTTCATTGTAGAAAAGTTAATTCGACATAACATCAGCATTGCTAATTGTGGAAAGACATGACATCACTGATTGAAGATCTTTAAGGATTAGAAAAGATGCTACCAAATTTGTCAGTTTCTTCGAGGAAGAGGTGGAAAGCCATTATACATTTGTGCATTTAAAATAAGCCGATTGTAATCTGGTTTCTGGTGTTATCATGTTGCAATTGGCTTGGTTGAAGAGCAGAAGGAGGGTGAGTGGGGGAGCGGGAGGGCAATGGGAGGAGGGGAAAAAGTGGAAATTTTTGAATGGAAAAATAAATAAAATAAATAAAAAAGAAAATAAGCCAATTATGCCCTATTTCTATAAAACACTATATTAAAGTCTGCGAAGAAATTATGATCAGACATGTTCATAATACAAAGGTGAATGAAGCTAGCTCATCAGTTCTCTGTGAGTACTGTGTGTAAAGGGTTAAATTAGACAATAAAATAGCATGCTCAGAAGGGTATGGCACATAATTCAGAAAATGAGAAATAGTAACAACTAAACTCTTTTAATTTATTTTTGATTTTTTTCAAGACAGGGTTTCTTTATGTAGCTCTGGCTGTCCTGGAGACAAGGCTGGCCTCAAACTCAGTGATCCATCTGCTTCTGCCTACCAAGTGCTGGGTTTAAAAGCATGTGCCACCACTGCCCAACAAAAACTAAACTCTACTTGAAATAAATAATTTATTTTTAATTCCTATATTACTACCAAAATTCATACTCTTCTGTGTTCTCTAGTACACGTTAACTTGGACAACAGTACTACGGCATGTTACAAAATTAAACTTTTACTGACTTATTTTTTGAGCATATTTTTGAGTTAATGTCACAGACTGAGGCCCACGCTTGACTAGAATTCCACATTACTTAGACTGGCCTGAATCCTTGGCAATTTTCCTGTTTCAGCCATCCAAGTGCAGAGATTACAAGCATGAGCCACCATGCCTAGTAAAAAAAAATCTAATAATAAAAAAAATGAAAATTATTAAAGATTTTTACAATCATCTTTATATAATATTAAAAGTCAATAGCGGGTTCTGGAAGAGGGAACCATTTAAATAATTGAAATTAAAGATGATCTCAAGCTTAAACAGGACAGTGTTTTGAATTATTGTCATTCATTAAAACATGTGAACTGTGTACTTATGGAGTTACTATTAAGTTTGCTGAGACACATACTTTCAACTAATTCCCACTTCCCTGATGGTTGGTCTTATGCAACGTACTTCGTTGGGTCAAGTTGTTGGCACCTAGCTCAAGAAAGCATTATGCCAAGTTAACATTTTGATATGTTCCAAATGGAAAAAAAAATTCTCAAGAACATTCTACAATTAATGTGAAAGAACAGCATACAATATAAGCAGAAATTTTCTCTATTTCATTATGAAAGAAGTAACTATATGATAAAGACAAATATAACTCAAAGAAAGCAGGATGATGTAGGAGTCGAACTAGGTAAGGGACAGAGTCAATTTCTCATAGGTCTGTGTTCTTAGACAACAACCAACCTTTCCAAAATAAGCACAATTAATATTATGTGTTAGATACTCAAGTCAGAAGATTGCATAGGGAATTAAAACTTCACGAAGCAGCTTATTGAGAACAAATAGTAGTTTTTCTCTGAAAAGTACCCCAAATCAAACTTACCTGATCTACTATCCAGAGGTCCAAAGTCCAAAGAGTATTTCACAACATGGTAGTTATTCCAAACATAAAGCAGATTGTCCCTGGGGTTGTAATCCACAGCTGCGATGTACTGGTAGGAATTAGGAAAGGGTACATCCACCAGGCTATCTTTGCTTTGGTCGGTGTTGTAAATGTAGTCAATCTTATTACCAGTGGCCTCATTGTCATCATCCTCATATACAGATTTGACCACATACAGAATTCCACAAATCATAAACGCATTGGAAGCTGACCTTTTATCATACGCTGTGTCCCATGTCCCCTCAATCCGTAGGGTATAAGGGTTCAACTGGCTAATGACAATTTTGCCATTGTTTTGTTCTGTTGCATAGATTACCCATAATCCATTTTCATCCACTGCCAAGTCTATGTCAGATTTGCCACCCCATCGGTATGGGGATGTGTCATGGTAATTGGCGTTTGCTATGATCGCCTCTCCACTCTTTATCCTAGTCCGTAAATCAAACTTTACTATGTTCCTGGTACGTTCCTTGTTGAAGAACAGGGCACCATCATATACTACAAATCCAGTGCCATCCACTCTGTGAGGGAGCTTGTAGGTCGTTGTTGGCCTTCCAGCAATGAAGTCATCTTTGGATGAATACTCTGTCAGGGTATCAGTTCTGTAGGGGGTCCAGGGCATATAATAAATCTTGTCGGAAGCCTGTAGAGGGTCTTTGCACCATGCCCCAGACTGGTGGTCCGATTCAAACAAGTGTTCACTCTGGTACACTCCTTTTAGCAGTCCAGGACAAAGAAAAACTGTCAGGAGGGAAAGTTATAATAACAAATATATTAATTGAATCTCCTTTTGTGTGCTTTCATTTTTAGCAAACAGAACACAACTCCAACAAGTGATACCCACCACCACTTATATTGTGGCAATACTGTTTGTTATACAAAGCATTTTTCCACATTAATTTTGTATTTTTATCTTCAAACAATTTGATGTCACTTGTTGGAAAAATGTTAGCCTTTTCAGAAGCAGCTGTGCTTTTCTGAGTTTTTCCTTTACAAACACATATTTTGGTGCATGTCTGAAGTGTAGCATATGTCTATGAGTTCTATAGACATATTACCAAGTACCAACTTTACACATGATGCTTTTTTAGTTCAATGAAGAACTCTATCTCATTTGAAAATGATAATCCATTGTTTCCACTCTGATGAAATTGACGGTTTGATAGTTATTAATCATTAATAAGTTGATATTCCACATTATTATCATTTGAATAAAGGAAAAGAAAAGATCTGCAACACTGGCCACTGAATCTTTCAGCAAAAAAAGGGGAGGGGGAGGTGGCTCTCAAAGCTGTTGCAACACACACAGAGCATGCAACCCATTCAATTAAAGATGAGTGATGGATGGATACTGGAAGGAAAAAGAGAAAGGGAGAGAAAGAAAGGAAAGGAAGAAGAAGAGAAGAAGAAAGTGAAAGGTTACAGAAAAAAAAAAACAGGATCTAGATTTTAATCAGTTAAAAACGTCCTGTTAAGTACAGTATTATTGGAACTTAAAAACATGTACCTTTTACTGTTACATGAGAAAGGCATTGAAAAAAAAAAACAAGATTACTTGCTATAATTTTGCTGCTCATACTTCAGAAGGAAAATGGACAGGAATCATTCGATTCTTTTTGTTGTTTAGTATAACTCACTGGAGAATATTGTCAGTTTGGTGGTAAGAAAGCTGGGCAGGGCCATCTGAAATGAAGGGACTACAGAGCAACGTTTCCCAAAGGGTGGTTCTTGAAGCGGCTGTGGCACAGCTGCACACAAGGAAAAAGGGGACCTGGAGCCACATTCAGTTATGACATACGATAGATAGAACATAAAAGCGTGGCAAAGATTATCATAGCTTAAGTACAGTGATGAATCTCTAAATCGGAAGTTGGGTGAGTGAACATATTGCACAATTTGATCCCTTTGTGTGAAGCCACTTTGGATGACTGTGTCCTTCTGAACCTGCTCTGGGAAGCGTTGCTTGCATCTACTTGCAAGGCAAACACACTGAAGAAACAACCATGCAGTCCGCTGTTAGGTTTGAGATGATTAGAATTTTCCTGGGTGAAAAAAAAGTAGGAAGCCACAAGGAATTGGACGCTGACCTGCTTTTTAACAAATAAAGGATTATCCTTTGGTGTTAGTGATTAGGTCCTTAGTATTAACTAGAAACACATATCCCCTGGAAAACAGTCTGGGAAGAACCTCAGCTATACAGTAAAGGTGGCTGAAATGAAAGGACATTCCTAAGATAGTCAAAGACTTACTTTCTAAAGAAATAAAAAGTTTTGTGGCAAAAGTTGACCTTCACATTCTGCAAAGATAGGGACCACTATAAATTTGTAATTGAAAACAATAATCATGGTATAGAACTTAGGAGTTTTCATATGGAAATTTTGCTACAAACACGAGTGACTCTGTAACTCAAAATTGTATGTTAACCTTATGTTATCATTAATAGTGGGCTCAAGGTTACTAACTGTAGGTAAGAATGCGTGCATTCAGAGTTGCTTGGCCACAGACACTAACGGCACTGAGGATAATTAAGAAGAGTATTCTGTCCCCTTTCTCCAGTAGTTAGTTAATGTAGAAGGAGAAACACAGTAGAGCTAAGGGAAATTAAGAGAGAATGAGGAACAAATCTAAAGCAATCATTAGTTACCATACCTGCTGGATTTCTAATTACTAAGTTTCAAATAAAGCAAAATAAAAGACAGTGTTGATGATTTTATAATATTACTAGTTGGTGTTAGGTAAAAGGATCAAACCAGCACTGGTCAGTAAAACAGATTAAAGTGAAGTTGAGCAGCAGAAGTAGTCAATAAATTTGCATGAAATAAGAATTAATAACAAAATTATTTAGCTAAATGTTAAGCTGTTAAACAACTTAGCCTATAAATAGTATATAATTTATGAAAGGTATTTAATTACCTTTTTGTTCCACTTCTATTGGAGAGAGAGAAGTAAAGAGAGAAAGGAGAAAAGAGAATAGATTAATGGTACGGTATTGGCCAAGCACTTTTATTCACCTTTTCCAAACTGAAAGTAAATAATTTATTGCAGTCATGCTTGCTTAATTGAACACCTTTAACAATATTTCACCAAATAAATACTTTAAAAATAATCATACACTTTAAAATATAGCATAAACATCAAAAATTACTGTAAAAATAATATGAGGAGTGCAAATAACCATAGCAAGAACACCCGTAGCTACATTTGAAAAAGAGGTCATCAAGTTTATAACACTGGAATTTTCAAGCAGTTTTGTTAGTTTCTCTTACAAATGCTATAGCAGATACCATTAATTAACAGAATAGCTCTGTTAGTTTTGCAGCTCACAGAGGTGACCTGTTCAGAAGAAACCTCTCCTGCAAACCTTTTCCTAGAACCATAGACTTGGGAGAGCGCATCAGTCTTACGATGAGAAATACAGCTTGTAAAGCTACAGGCAAGTGGAGGACTCCGAGTGAATGAATGCACTTAGAATCCTTACCAAAGAAACTTCTCTCTCACCTCTCAATATTTGACTCTAAGATGGAAAAATATTTTCTCATAAAAATCTTCCACCAGAATATTAATGTAAATGATGAGCTTTTTTATAATGTAAATAATGGGCTTTTTCTGAAATGCTTAACTGAGTCACCATATACTCAGAACAGAAGATTATGAAATAGGCTATGCATTTGTAGATCTTACTATGATTTTTAAAGGTTCTTATAAAAATTAGAAAAATGTAACATATCCATGAAACATTAATTGGCACCTTCATTATAACATGTATAAATAGACACAATTTGTTTATACCTTAACAAGCAAAGGGAGGGCCAATCTGAAAAAGGCAAAGATTTAGGGGAAGAATGGCTTTATAACCTAAATATAAAAATTTACAGAGTCCAAGTGTTGTAAACCTACTGCAATTTTAGTAGAAAAGGTTAAATTGATGTTTTTCACATGGAAATAAAGTAAAAGCCCCAGTGATGTTTCAAAAACAAACAATAAATGCTGAGATTATGTAATTACATTTGGGTGCAATTTCTATACTTCAGCATAAATTCTTACGGCTTTGGCTACTTTCCAAATAAAACTTGCAACATTCCTTTGAAAGTATAGTATTATATATCAGAAGAAAAAATGGTCATATATATGCACACACATAGGCATATACATATTTGTCATATATATATGCATGTTCATAGAAAAGTTGCATCTTTTTTTTAAAAAAAAGCTTTTTATTAATTTTACATAACAACTACAGTTCTCTCTCCCTCCCTTCCCCCCACCTCTTTCCTCCACTGCCATCCACTCCTGAGAAAGGATAAGGCTTCCCTCCTGTGGGAGTCAACAAAGCCTTGTATATCATGTTGAGGCAGGACCGCACCTTACCCCCTTGGAACCTGGAGAGCAATAAAAGAGATATCTTGATAGAGGGAGTCATTACGGGGTTAGGGAAAAACCAGGAGCTAGGAAATATCCAAGAATCCACAAAGATGACCCCAGCTAAGATACAGCTATAGCTATATCCTAGTTATAGTGGGGAGGGTGCCTTAACTAGCCAACCCCTATAATCAGATGGATGACTACCCTAATTGTCACCATAGAACCTTCATCCAGTAACTGATGGAAGCAGATGCAGAGATCCACAGCTAAGCACTAAACCAAACTCTTGGAGTCCAGCAGAAAAGGGAGAGGAGGGATTATATGAGCAAGGGGTGGAATCAAGATCTTGATGGGGAAATCCACGGAGACAGCTGACCCGATCTAGTGGGAGCTCATGGACTGAAAAGCTGTATCTTACTAATTTAAAAATCTAGTTTTAAACAATATTTCTGTAATTCTTTCAGAACTTCTACTACTGTATTGTCAACATCCTCATTTATTCTTTATGAAGTGACTACTAGGCTATGGGTCAGTACGGGCCCATGGAAAGCCTTATTTAGGAGAGGTCCAGCTGAAGATGAAGGGTAGTAGTGCCAGAGTCTGCCAATTCTCAGGATGAGCTCATTCTGTTGTGATTGGAATAGGGTTGTTCTGGAAGAATCTTCCATATTTACAACATGGGATGTGAGGGAAAGAAAAACAAGATGCCCAAGAAGAATGCAGTTCAGTCTACAGGGTCTGTTTCACAGTAATTCAAATTTGCTGAAGCCTCTACTGCAACAAAAGACAGAGAGCAAAAAAGCCACTGGCCAGGCTGCCCAGAATCCCGCTGCAAGCTTCTTGGGGCTCTAAGTCAAGTAAGTTTACATACTTTTGGTCACTGGGCAAATAAATATGTTTGCTAACTCAGCTTGGATATCCTATGCCTGCTGCAGATCAACAGGCCTCTATTACAGCTCATTTCAAAGCACTGAAATTACATACCCTTTAATTCTAGCTTAAAAACAAATAGCTTTATTTAAAGATGCATTTCAAGTTTAGACTAAAAACAAAAATGCATTCAATCTGGCAATGAGAGGAAGTACAACTGGCAATTTAAAATTGATTTAATTGAGAACTTCAAAGTTTGAACTTGACGCTCGTTACAATAAAGACCAAGCTGGGGAATGAAAGGTTGACATTTTTCAACTCGTGGTCGAAGAAGGATTTCCACCTAAATGGTCCCTTGATTTTTTTCTTCCTATACCACTTTGAAAATTACTTGTGAAATATTTGTATTCTAAAATATCAGAACTATATTCTTCATTCACATAAAAAATATTCCTTTGAAGAAATAGTTTGTGTTTGTTAACGATAGTTGTTTCAAAGATTTATTTTTA